ATCTTTACACACTGTTAGGCAAAGTCTAGATGTTTTCTGCCAGTGAAATTTTCTCCGTGGTGGAAACACAGGAAATTTTGACTAGGAGACAGGTGTTCATCCCCAAAATTTACATGATGAACTTAACAGAGCCTGCTAGAGTGACAGATCAGTTATTGATGGGCAATCTGGTAACCAGGCTGGAAAAAGAGACAGTATCTTCAGAAGAGGTATTTTTACATGCTTGTCAAAATGACCCCCTTTCCTCACTCCCCAAAATGATGTCACAGCAGCGAGCACTCCATCTCACCACAGAACAGGGAGGACAGAGAAGAACTGATTTCAATGGTACACCCAATCGTAACTGCTTTTACTTCTTGGAAGATTACAATCCCATCTTATGATCTGAAGTAGTGCGATCCCAACTTGGTTTTGCTTAAAATATCTATTTTTTCCTCTGCCTTTTATATAAAAAGATACTGCTATTACTCAAGTGTTTTCCAGTGGGCTTATAATAAAAAGTACCTTTTACAATCAGAAAGTCCCAAACAAGTTTCAAGTTCAAAAGTTCACTGCTGTTCAGCTAAAGATTTCAGAAAGCTCTTGGAACTGCCTTTCAGCTTCAACAATTTATCGTATGCTCGGAAGACCTGAATTTTAATACAGTTTACTGATGCCTTTTGACACAGCTACTGCATTTAACCAAGATGATACTGGCTTGCTCACTGAGAAGCAGCGCATTCTGTCAGTAACCAGACCAAGAGCTTTACAGAAAAATACTGCCCTGTAGTGTAATTTAACATTTTTCAAATTGCTGATGCTATCCCTATGTAATATGCAACAGGCGATCAATAGGAGAGACGTTACCCATGCTCTGGGAAGCTTACAAGCAAAACCTGTAATCCTGTTGTCGATAACATACAAGTTCTGTATGAAAAAAACAGGCGATAGGAAGGTGAGCTGAACAGAGGTAAGAGCAGCAACAGATTCAGAAATGCTTCTGAACTTCTTGAAAATTTGGAATGTAACCTCTTAAAAGTGCAATTAAGATGGTTGTCCAAATAACTAATAGTTGGGGGGGGGGCCACACAGGTGGTGTGTGCTTTATTTTGTTGGGTTTTTTTGTTGTTGTTGTTTGGGTGGTTGTGTTTTTTTGTTGTTTTTGTGTGTTTTTGTTGTTGTTGTTGTTTTTACAAGTGGAAGGAAGCAGGTATAGCTTTACCTACAGAGAGCAAAGATTCTCAGCAGCCCAGAACCAGGGACACATGGCACTGCCTTCCATCCATGCATAGGACTACGCAGAACAACTCTTTCAGCACACATCCCAAAGGAAGAGCAAACACACCAAGCCATCATTCCAAAACAGGATTTTGATGAACTAGCTGAAGATGCCAGCTCCTTAACCCACCCAGGGCACAGCCCAGGCTTATGCTCAGGGAGTTTCATAAACACACTCATGACCTTTGAAAAAAGAAACAGGAAGCCATCAGCAAGAATGCCGACAGCCATCAGGCAGAGCACACACCAGGACAAACGCACGGTTATCACGGATGTTTTGGGGTAACTGCTTACCATGTCACCCATCTTGGAACACCAACCACTTGTACACAATCTTTACGCTACTTCTACTGATTTGGGTGATGCCCGTGGGACTAGAGACCTCTCTGTTGCAAAACCCTAGCCTCTCTCACTTGCCTTTAGTGCTTTAAGACCAGACCCCATACGTAACAATGGTTTTGGTCAAGTCCACCTCCAGTCTACAGAGAACTAAAGGAACCCCAACACTGACTATAAAACAGGCCTCTAACTTCCTCTTATCCATGGAATATAAGAGTTTACAGAGTCTACATCGTATTTTTAAGTTGATACTTCCCTTAAGATAAGGGACTCCAATTAAAAACGCTTAAGGAGCTGGTTTTAAAGTTTTCAACCTCTGAACCAAGAGCCTAAAGCATGAAGAGTTCTGCTTCAAACAGGCCTCAGTTAAGTCAAAGTGAAGCAGCTGATGTTTCTGCTGTGGTATTTTCAATGTTATTCTCAACATTATAGAGGAAGGTGGGGTTTTCTGTTCCGCTTTGTTTTTTAACTACCACAAACACCAAAGGTCAATACTGAAACTGAGGCTGGAGATAGCATTGACGAAAAGGAAACAAGGATAGGGAAGTGTGAACTCTCATCGGAATAAAACAAGTCAACTAGCCAACTCCCGGATACTAAAAAGTCCTGTCCACTCCAACACCTCTGGCAGGACAGGAACAGCAGGAAGTATTTGCGGTTTCAGTTGGCCATACGGCTTGTTCATGTCATTTCCAGAAGAACCGCACGTACACAACCATAACTTCCGATGACCGCAGCAGTAAATCCCATCTAACCCCGAGTGCTCGGCTGTCCGTGTGCGTACCAGGTGAACTGCGATCCCTCCAGTGTTGGCAGAGAGGACTAGAAATGCAGTCTTATTTAGCAGTACCTAAGATAGGTAAAAAAAAAGCTTTTATGCTGTCATCTAATCACCTATTAATACCACCTAATTTTTGAACAACCACATTTAAAAGTTTCATCTTAAAAATATAAACAGGTAATTTCGTCAATCTGAAGATACTCGGTATATTTTTAAAGAGCACTAACGCATATTGAAAATCAGAAACTTGAAACCTTTTAGATGTATTTATTTTTTAACCCTTTATTCTAAAGACTCTTTGTCCACCAATGCAAATTGACTATTTACTTCCATACACAAGTCATACGAACTTTCAGTTTTCAAGCAATTCCCTGTTGTTAGGGGGAAAAGAAAGCCATTTCTGCTGCAGAGAAGTGAGCACATTCACATCAGGAAGTTTTGTATGTCCCACAGGTGGCTGGGGCTTAGCCAAAGCCTAGGAATGCCTGACAAAACCCTTCATGCTGTTAAGTCACTTTTGCCATCTCTCCCGCAAGAGGATGACCAGCGTTCAGCAAGAATCCAGCTTTTTCTCAGAGTGGAAGCTTTTCTTCTCTCTCTATGACTGCCATTTCCTAACAGCAGCAAGGACTCAACCACTTTTCCATCTCCACATCCTTGTCAAATTCAGCCAGTGTTGTCTGCATGTTAAAAATGTGCTGTGGAAAAGAACCAAGGACAGTGTGACAGTGCAAACCTTGTTTCTTTAACAAAGCACGCTAAAAGCAGGAAGAGCTACAGAAAACCTACTGCTTCAGCAGCACTATCCCAAATGCATCATATCCTGGCCTAGTACAATCCTTTGGAAGTCTTCTTATGCCAGACTGAAGGCAGAAAAAGCCTTGACAGGAACAGAGAGCAGCCAGCAGCCCCAGGCCCCCCACCCCGAGAGACTCCCAAGAGCAGGCTTCCTGTTTATCGCTCCTCCGGGACAGCGGGCCCTGCACTCTTGCTCAGACTCTGCAAGGATGGCACAGTGCCCTGCAGCTCCCCACTGGCTTAGAAACGTTTTGTCAGGAGACACTTATGGAAACCCTGGGTTTCCAGTTCCATGCTTTGAAGAACAGGAAAGTTACAGAGATTCAGCAAGAGGCAGCTGCTTAACCAAATACACTTAGTCTTCAGCAAAGCGAAGATGGGTAGACGCTGCTGGAAAGCACGTTCCTGTGGGCAATACCCTCAGTTTCCCCTCAGCTTGGGCCCGGATATTCTATACATCTGGCCTGGCCTGCTCAGGCAGAATTTTCTGCCACGGTGTAAAGAGCCACTTTGGTACCGGCCTTCCCATAGACACATCCTAATCAGCAGTTCACTTTTTGCATACAGTCCCTTCAAATACCCTAGTCAGGCACAGCTACTGCCCCTCCAGGGTCTTGGCTGCCTCGAATTTTAGATTTAGTCTTTGTCCTGCAGATCATTTTCCAGTAAGGGGTATCAAGCTGTAAAATCTTATTACAAATCAGACACTACAGCAAGTATTAGAAAAAACACCGTCACAAAAGAAAATAGTTAAATTTATTCAAAGCAGACTGCCTCCAAGCCAACACATTCCACGGAAGGGAAGGAAAGACAAATACTGTTCCTCAGGTCTCCCCTCCCTGCCTAACAATGCAAGATCTCTCCTCCTCTGGAGAGAAAGAGGAGGACACACATGTTAACATGAATGCATACAGGCTAACACTGTTTAAATGGTGAGGAGCAAGCCAGATATTTAAGGGCCTGCCAGCTTTCACTAAGACCCAATCTCTGATAACATCACCTGCATTCCTCTGTGGATGAAGAGTTATGAACTGATCTACTTCTGCCACAAAACCTGAAAATCAATCCCATCTAGGTTTGGCAAATACAATGCAGATTACAAATTCTGCTTTTCTGCTAATGACCGTTTTCTTCTTTCTTACCCACCCAACATAATCTGCGTGACATCATAGCAGGTGGATCCCCCTGACACCACAGAGACCAGATCTTTAACAGTGACTACAGATGGGCCAAGTATCACGTGAATCTTCGTTTTGAGAGGCATCCTCGAGCAATGCCCCACAGCCAAGTGATCTGTGTAAATAAGAGAGCAAGTAAGTGCAATTTAGGCCGTTGCAAGGAGCACAGCAGTACTTCAGTGCCTCTACCCACTGCTGCACAGTGGTGTGAGCAAACAGAGCTGACGGGACTGAGCCAACCAGACGCACTTCATGTTAAAGGAAGGAAGTAAGAGTCTTGAGTATTCATATACAAATGGTACCTGCCCACTTTCCGGGAGGAGTGTACACAGCACATTTCTGTCTCTGCTGGTCTCCTATCACACTCATTACCATAGCATCTGAAAGCGCTGAAATGTAAATACAAACTCTTTGTAGAAAGGTGGTATGCCCTGCAAAAGGGTAATTCACTTGGTAGTGCACACTTGTGTTTCCAAAAAGCTTTAAACAGCATTCCGTATTGGAGACTCAAACCATTTCACTAACGTGAAATACTTTATTGAAACCACCTTTTTGGAATCAGGCTCACTCTGACAGTCATACATTGGGCATTCGTAAGGCCAAGCTGCCAACAGGAGGCAACTGCTTTTATGGAGTAACTGCGCATCCATTTGAGAGAATGTTGGTAATGCCGGGAAGAAAACATACTTTAGCTCCCCTCTTTCTTCCTCTTGTCCTTCATCTGTACTTAGACCTCTCTTTGTCTTTTGATTTCTTAGGACTTCTGCTTCTGTCTGCTTTTTTATCCCAGTCTCTTATTCGGAAGTCGTCTTTGTATTTGTCTTTTTGTTTGCTGCTAGCGTAGTCTCTGTCTTGAGAGTGGCTGCGACTCCGATGCCTGTCTTTCTTCTCACTCCTTGTCTTCTCTCTACAGCGTTCTCCTTCATGTTTTCGATCAGAATCCTGTTAAAGGAATTCGACAGATATGCAGTTACCAACAAAAGGGGAAAATATACAAAGGCATGAAGCAAACTAGCAAATAGTCAAGTATGGGTGGTTCCTTAGCTAAGGCTGGTACTACCTGAAATAGATTCACATTCGTGATGATTGAAAAAAGATAACGCATAAAAAAATCCCACTGTAACTGTATGAGGAAGGTAAGTCTACAGCTTCTGTCAGTATTTATGGAAAAAAGCATGGCTGCCAGGCATGCTGCTGCTTGTATTTCCTAAGCAGCTTTAGCAAAACCCGCTTGTATCAGTGATTCAACTCAGAAGGACATTATCAAACTCTTCACAAGTTTCTTACCTAGATTTGGATTTTGACTTTTTACCTAAGCAAGTATTTTGATCATAGTTTTGGTTCAAGGCCCACAGGCATTCCAGTGCTGTGAAGATGTAAAATGCTTTTTAAGACCTGCCTGGAATAATCCTTAGTGACCTGAATTCTAGGCTTCAGAAAAATGAACGACACCATTACAGAGACCACACACACACACACACGTGCACAAACTACTTCACTTCCCTGAAGCTAGAAGTCCACAAGAAAAGGCAGCATGAAGAATCCGACCCTTTTAAATGTACAGTCAAACGACAACACAAGGTGCATAAGTTGAAATGGAAATAACAAGGTAATGAAAAATCAGCTGTGTTTTGCACGCTGACTGGTATGACCCATACAGAAAACACAGGATACACTCACACACAGACATAGTAAACTCTAAGGGGTACAAGTCCATCTAATTTAAAATGGCCTAAAAAGGAGAGAGCAACATACTATAAGTGGTGATGGTGTTTGAGCACACACACACAAACTCTTATTAAAAACATGCTGCAAGTTCAAGTAGCCAAAAATTTTTAATTTCCCTGGCTTTCTGCCTAACGTCACAGAGAATAGAGCCGAGTGGCTGAGCACACAGAACGGACACGCTCTGGAGAGAAACGAGGTTTATGTAACAAAGGAGGAACTGAACTGCTGTCAGCAGAACACCTGCTTTACTTGTTGCACTAGGCAGACGGTATGAAACCACGAAGTGCATTACAAAACGAAGGAAAGATGGCTTAATTACCAAGATTGTGAAATGTCACACTTAGCAAGATTATGGCACAGCACATGCTACAACGACTACATGGAGATACCAACACCCGTACAGGCCACAGCATCATAGCAGTTTTAAAAGTAAAAAGATAGAGATCACTTAGTAAGTCACCATTTCATTTCAAGGAAAAGATTTTTCTTCATACACGACACTGAGTTTTGACATGTGAACTAACATTTTCAAGCACTACTAAAAAAATAGTTTGTTCTTACTATTCAACTAAGATATACAGGGAGACAAAATACAAGAGAACTTCAGAATCCTGCAGAAAGATACACGTACAACTTGCTGTTAAGAAGGCCATAGCCACTTCTGTTCTGAAGATACAATCAACCCAAAGTTTAGTATCACTACATGCTCTAGTAGACAGATAGCATTTTATGAGATTTTAATAACAATACTGTTAAACACAGATATTATGAACTACAAAAGATGTCTGCATTAAATTATACAGTATTTCACTTCAGATAAGATTTTCATTTTTCCTAAATACAAACTTGTGACAGTAGCATTCACAATTGTACAGCTAAAACCTATACTGCATGTACAAACAAGCAAACTTTACTTATTTAAAACAACAGCGAAAAACACACTCTACTCCAAGCAGAGCTTTTTTATCCAGAAAGGCAGTATAACGCTGAAATACTAGAGTTACAATAAGCAACATAAACCCCCTGGATCAACACACACATCTTCATCTATATAACCAAAAATTTCTGCTACTGCTGGGTACGGTAATCCCACTGGTGGACAAATGCTTATTCCACATCTTTACTGTCAAACTTTGTTTCAGTACAGATTTCAAAATCTGAATCCACCAAAAAGGAGTGGTGCATCCAGCCATTTATAAGAGCTTTGTCCAGCCACCTTCAGAATGATGCACAGCTATAATACTCTTGTACCCAAAAGGCTCACTCTCTGTATGTTTGAACAAGATGACAGGTTCCAAGCCCCTTCGTGGCAAGGCTTGAGTAAACATCAGAAGATGAGCACACTGGTGGTGCACTAGAGAGGAAGACGACAAAAATACCGTCCAGAAAAACAAACATAGCTTTGGGGCACTAGTGCCTTCTAGCTCGTTTGTTGCTGAAGTTTCCTCCAAGCACACAGGAGAAACAGGAGAAAAGCAGAACAGCACCTCAGCTGAAAAATCTACCAAGCCAACACTGGCCAAGTCAGGGCAGGGAACAGGTTAGTGAAGACTTGAAAGTAAAGACAAGTAGCCCATGTTGAATGCCATAGAAAAGGGCAACTTGCTGAAAGGATTTAAAAAAAACCCAAACCTCATATAAGCATGGAGCCAGGCAAGCACAATGATCTTCACAGAAGCATTTAAGGTACAGGTGTACAGGGCAAGTCTGAAAGTGCCACAGAGGTCATCACAGTAGCCAATATGATCACAGTGTAAAGAAAAAAAATGTAGTAATTTGAATGAATAGGATGAATTGCATCTTAGTTCTCCCCAAAAAATTGGCTATGCTTCCCCTTAAATAAGATTTTACCTTTTTTTTAAGTCTTTGGCACAGCAAAAGGTCCATTTTTTAAGCACTCCGAGTTACTAAAAATAACAGTATTTTGAAACCAAATCTTTTATGCCCTATCCAAGTCAGAAACATGCTGTTTTCCCACTGGAAGAGGAAGAAAGATTCCTACTTAAAAACAGGCTCTTATCTTACTGCTGAAGTCCAGATTTTGCAATTCAGGATCACAGCCTCTCTTCAGTCAACGAGCAAATTATGATCACCCCAATTCTTAATCCGGCACTGTGTTGGTAAACTCTTATGAGGAAGGAAATATGAAAAGAGGGGAAGACACTCTCTGGAAGTTCACGGCTGGCTTTGCCAAAAGTAGTAACTTGCCAAACAGCACTTGCAGGTAAATCGCCTAGAAATACCATGACCACAAAAGTAGAATAAAGATGCCACCTCCACATACATTAAGCACACTAGTTAAAAGTTAAAAGGAGCAAACAAATAGAGAGCCTTTTCAGGAGGGAGATTTTGATCAAACTTGACCCTGAATATAAAGAGAACAATGTCCAATGAGCAGGAAATTAAAACCAGAAAAATCAATGCCTCTGCCAAAACCATGTGCTACAGAAACCTGAAAGTCAGAAAGGCCCTATGTCTCACAAAAATCCATTGGATAGGCTATACTCCTCCACAGATCCAGTATCTTAAAAAAAAAAATCCAAGGACCAAAAAAACCAGAGAGAAAACTGGAAAGGGAACAAAGTCATAATATAGATCTCAAGCAGAAGCATGACCTGTATTCAAATACCAAATCCTATTCACAAACCCACATGGTAGTCCAGCCCCCCTGCTCCAGACCCAGACCCACATCCTGTTACCTACTAAAAGCAAGCCACAACATGCTACCTCTTCTACCCTCTGGAATCAAGTCAAACAGCACAACATTCAAAAATATAGCCTTAAAACAACAACACAGAGGCTGAAGATTCAGGAAACGGGTGTCAGACTAAGAAAAGGATGAGTCAAAATACACTAAAAAAAAAAAAAAAACAACCATCAGCAAGAGCACAGAAAAATGATTCAACATCATGGAAACTATTCGGAAAATAAAACCCCTTCAAGTCATAGCTGGAGCCAGTAGCACAAACTGCAGTTTCAGCTGCCAGAACTTCCCATGGTAAGACCCCACACTCTGTTAATCAAAATCTCTGCCACACTAAGGGCTCAGGGTGCAAGTTCAGGTACGAGGCATGGCTACCGTGGTCTTTGGCCAATTATCTGTGGAAGGTCTGCTGTTGTTCTGTTTTAAGGTTCTTACCTCAAATATCTTCTAGTATTTCCAAAATGGGGTTAAGGGAAAATGCTTTGTTTGCCTACAATAAAAATGCTACCATTCATCAAAAAAACTTTCCACACTGTTATGCTTTGTGCTGGCCTTGGTATTCACACTGAACACACTCTGCCTGAAGAACATGCTTCCTTCCCCTGCTCCTGTAGGAGCTCCCCAGATTATGTCCAAATTACAAATCTAAAAAAAGAAAAAAAAAGTAAAAATTTACATTTTGTGGATGCTAAACAGAATTTGTCAGCTAAGCTGCTGCAGATTTCATCTGGAAAGGGCTATGCCCAAGACAGTTACTGAATTCCTAAATGAGACTGAATACATACAGTGTGTATATACGATACAGTACACACTAACAAGAATATTCAAGTGCAGACACAGAGAAAAATTCTCCCCAGAAATTCATTTTCACAGCTCCAAGAGGGAACTATGTTGCTTGCCATCACAGAACAGAAGCAAGCCTCCACTTGTGATTTCAGGTATCAGAAGGTTAAGCTATTTACACCAAGATGGGTAAAGGTGAGCAATAGGGAGGAAAACAGCAGGAAAGAAAATGATACCAGAATTCAGCTGCAGTAGACTACAGGAACAAGCCACAATAGCAGCAGCCAATAAAACCACAAAAAGATAAACAGAGACACAGAAGAGATCACAGAGTCAAACACTAGAAAATACTCTTTTCCAGAACCTGGAAATAGCACCAGGAATCCCTGTGTCCTCAGTTTTTGTGCTATGAAATCCACTGCTAACGTGTCTCGCAGTCGCCTTGTAACAATAACACAGGTTAACAACCTATTGCTGCCAGTACTTGCTGTACTACCTGCAGGGGTGGAGACATCTGAATGATTTTTAAATGTTCTCTGCCGCTAACGCATGACCAGCCAGTCCCACACGTGTAATTTCTGAACCATCAAGAACAAAGACTATTTCCAGAAATATCTGTTTCAAAACTGTTAAAATGACAATGTCAGTCCAAAAAGATAGGAGGAAGACTAAACCAACACGTATATGCTCCGACGAGACTTTAATTATCTGAAGAGGTCCATTCCCTCCACCCAAAAGATGCCGACTGAATTAGTACACAAGCAGTGACAAAAAGACTTGTACCATGAATGAAAAAATTTAATTGCTAACGTTCATGAGAAAAGGGTTTTTTTTGTTTTGTTGGGTTTGTTTTGGTTTTTTTTATCACAGCAAGAAGTGACGCAATGGAACAACAGAACAACATATGCTCTCTGTACTCAGAACTTAAAGCAGTACTCAAAACTCATGCCAGGACAATGGCTTTAATCCTTCCACAAACTTGCTAAAGACAGCTTTGTTCTTACCCATAAAAGCTTGCATTGTTAAAATATTGGGGTTTGGGTTATTGTTTTTCAGCTTAGCTCAATTCTCCCTAATGCTCACATTTCAGTAGCAGTTAACTCCCCACTTTATCATTGCAGACATCATTTCCATGAAACATCAACATGCTGACTATCCCAAGTGCACAGAAACATGAGAATGCTGACCTGACAGGCTGCACTGGAACCCATGAATGACAGAACCACTGTCTTCTGATGACCTCCTCCACAGCGCCAGTCTTACAGCACAATGTGCTTGCACAATAGAGATGCAAGCAAACGTGCATACAGTTTTTACACAAATGCTTATAAAACAGTTAAGGGGAAAAAAAAAAGATAATGCAAAGAGATTTCTGATTCCATACGGGAAAAAGCCCACACACGCTGGTCTGGCAAGAAAATGAGAAACAGTTTGCATTCATGACATATGATTAACTACTAGTTTATGACTGGGGATATGTGAACAACAGGTTCAAAGTGCTGAAGATCTCCTACTTTATGAGAGGCTACACTGCCTCTTCAGGCTGTTTTGGCAAAAAGCCATTCAGACATGCCAAGCTTCAAAAGTCCAGGAAGATTTGGAAAGCCTCTCTCATAATCAGATACTAACATCAGCCTTCTGTACGTTTACAACTGCTGTATTTTACGGGACTTTGCACGCCATGTCCTCAGTTCAGTATCGGACCTTTTTTTTCCGGGTTTCTCTTATTAGGAGAATAACAAATGGGTATAAAGTTAATGCATGAAGACGTAAGTACCTTAGTTTTTTTGGTCCTCTTGTCATCCTCTTCATCTTCAGAGTGGTGGTGCTTTTTCTTCTTCTGTTTTTTAGCCAAGTGTGACTGACTTGTTTGAGACTCTCCTATATCCTCATCCAGCACAAGGTCATACTTGGCACTGATGGTGTTGGTTAAGGACAGACCTGTTACTTAATATCAATAAATGGCAGAACATAAAAGCTCATGAAGCAAACAAATACCTGTTTATCAGACCAGGGTTTACAAAGACCTACCTGCATTTCAGTCAGGATCGTACATACTGAAAAAATCAGCTGTGCCAAGATGACTGAATTCTGTCCTGTCAAACAGTACAACCAGATCTTAATTCTCCTTTCTTTTTCTTCTTCTTATCTACCTGTGGATATCTGAACAAGCTACAGTCTTCTTTTCTCTCATGCTCACCCCAAATAAAATACAATCTCAAAGCATGATTTAGTCATTACTAGGATCTCATTTTGGATACAGCAGGTCCTCTCTGAAACTACTTAAAACTCTGTCACGCCACGTCATTCCAGGGCTGTAGACTGGGAATGCTATCTCCCTGCATACAACCTGGAAGTGAAACAGCACATTCTGATTTGACTAAATTCACCGAAGTCATCAAATGAAAAATGCAAAATGCTTAATTCCATCTCAAACACCAAATCGTTATATGAAGCAGCAGCAAAATATTCATTTGGCAAGCTTTAAGAATAAGAAGTCTTTTTCAGGCTGTTTTCATAACCTGTGCGTAGTTCAAAAAATACCTTTGACCAGAAAAGGATACTCCTGCTTCGGTTTTACCTTCTCTTTCAGAGCAAGTTTTGAAGGTTTGTCACGTTCCTTTTCGTACTCTTTGAAATCGTCCTTGGTATACCGCCCACCTGTCCACAGAGAAATATATTCAATTCACTCCAACTGAAAAAACAAGCAAGACCCACACCTATCATTAAGTTCTGCTTATGAATTTAAGGGCTCTTCATAACCTTACAGAGATGCATAGCAGGACATAGTTCCAGAAACAACACTGACGTCTGGGTAACAGAGTAGAAGACAGTAGGACAAATTGTGATTTTCTGTCCTTCTCTTGCTTACAGATCCCATTAAACAACATACGGCTTTCTCCTCACTCATGTCCAGCGGCGACAACACATGAATAGGATCACAAAGTAAGATTCAGCAACTGATTTAGTCTGACTTTGATTACAGATCCTACGTTACTTTAGTCTGTAGGCTTTCATGGTAACAGCAGTTCTTCTCATTATTAAATGACATTTTGCCCTGGGCTACACAAAGGGAAACCTCTGAGACAGCTACAGCTTAAGACTCCAAATGGAAAACTATAAAAAAAAAAAAGTCATGTCTTGATTTAAAGAGAGGCATGGCAAATTTCATTCTGCAGCCTGTGAGCTGAAAGTACCAGCTCACAGATTAATAAACAATTCTACAGCAACGTGCTGCCATCTCACGGTCATACTTAAAACTGCAATAGTTTTAGAAACAGAAATGGCTACTGAAGGTGGAAGGACAGTACTTCCCCTAAGTCACTTTTTGGGTACCATATAAGCACAATAAGATGACAATATAGTTAGCTTTCCAATATTGAGGACGATTTAGACCTAAGTTACACAGATAAAGAAAAGCTTTCCACGTAGTCCATTAACACACGATGCACCGCGGAGCATGGTATAGCCTACAGTCATCTCAGCTCTGCGCAGGACAAGTTCTAGTACCTCAGTGTCCATGACAGGTCCCCAGCCTGGAGAAATCGTATGCAAACAATTGAGGGCTGACTGCATTTTTAGGTGAAGACACACAAGAATGTCACCACTGCAGTGCACAGTCACCTCTCCCAGTCCAGTGTTTTCCTCACATCCCAAACAACCAAATAACCACTGTATCTACCTCTCCCACCATCTTCTTCCTCCCAAAACATCCTCAAACATCTGAAATTGGGCTTTTATAACATACAGCCTACTATTCAATGTGCTTCATCTACAGGAGGTGAAGAGGGAAAATCCCTGGCCTGAATATGGACCTTTTCTTGTACACACCGAACTGTCATACAGTGAAAAAATAAACTAGAAAGTAACAATGTACTGCCATATTATTTTGTTAACAACTAATACCAAAAAAAAAAAAAGTTTAGAAGTCATGGCTTATCAAGTTATGAGAGTCAAAGAATTGCAAGTGTACATACCTTTTCCCTTCCACTTAATCTTTGCAACAGACTGGCTAAAATCCACATGTATCCGTCTGTCATCTATCAGCACATTGTCCATTTTGAAGTAGGCTTTCTCACAGTCTTCCTCCTGACATAAATGTTTCCAGAAAATTTTAAGTCATGGTTATTTCATAGGAATATTCACTGAAGAGCTCAAACACAAATTCAACTCCTTAACGGCACACACTTTTTTTCTAAAAGTGCCTAGAACACATCAGTTCTTGCATTGTGCCATTTCAAAAGAAACAGTTATGCTTTGTCCAAATGTCAGCATTTCAAATTCCAGTTCTTCAGTTCAGTTCACTATTTTAAAGATTTGCCAATTCAGCTACATTTGGCACATGTAATAACTTCAGAAAAACAAGGGAAAAAAAAAAGACAACCAATAAAAGCTCAATTTTAAGTACATAAGAAGGCTAAAGGAAAGTGAGAACACTTTTCCAGGGTTTTCCAGTTTTCCTCACAGATTAGAGGGATTAGCAGATACAAACAAGAAGCTATGCACCATCAAGAGAACTTCTACTATCAATCCCACAGTAACAGGAGCATGTTGGTAAAGCAAGCATCGTTTACAAGCCAAATACAGGACACTACTGTACACATTGATCTACCTTCTTTCATACAACCTCCCCTCTTTATGCAGCAGGCCTCCTTTTTCTCCTAGCATTCCCTCCTTTAACTCTTCAAAGTCCTAATATGCTCTGGGGGAAAAAAAAGGGACCTGCTCCCCTCCCACTGGTTTCAAGACAACCTAAGAAGAACATCTTTGTATTCCTTGGTTGAATAGGGGAAGACTTAAATTTGCCTCATTTAGGACCCACAACTTCTATAACTAAGTCGGTAAGAGAAAATATGAGCTACCCCATGCTTGAAGATTTCAGTGTTTTTCCTCAACAGAAGTATATAAAAAATGAACTTTTATAAGAAGAATCTACATACAGTATACCTAAAAACCATACCTTTTCAAACTCAATGAAAGCATAACAAAGAGATTCACCAGTCTTCCAGTCTCGAATCACTTCGCAGCTGAAAAATTCATATGAAATTAAAATGTCAATGCTGTTGGAGAAAAAAAATCTAGGATAGGCAATGACTGCTTAAAAAGGAGAGTAACAGTTTAAAAAAAAAACCCAACCAAACAACAACAAAAACATTTAAAACATAACACTTGATTCTGAGATGCCTACTGATGTGGCAGTGTCTGCACAGAAAAATGCATGTGACATTACTTGAGTACACTTAACTCACAAGTGGCTAACATCACAGAAAAATGCATGTGACATTACTTGAGTAATTATTACACTTAACTCACAAGTGGCTAACAAGAAGTGCAGAATTAGGGATGAATTTCTGATTAATTAAACAAAATCTGTTTTCCAACATTACCGTTTGTTATTAATTTTTTGCATTTCACTAAAGCCAAACAAGAAATTTCACATTCTGTTTCCTCAGTCATTTTAAGAGAAGTTTAAACAGACACCATGTGACAAACTTTCTCTCCTTAGCAAGCACCTCTTTAGCAGCCATCTTCCTATCAGGCAGTGCGCTGGGCAAAAATAAGAAGCCTAAAGTATTCAATCAGCAAATGCAAAACAGGAACAATACAATTTTGTATCAGTATTACCAAACTCTTGCATATGACATAAGAATTCCAACTACCAGATGTTGAAGGAGGTCAAACAGGCAACAAGGGTAGGAAATGTGTTATTAAGGTGAGATCTGCCCCATGTGCACTGAGGAAGTCAAAAATCAGAATTAGGATACATAATCCAAAAGATAAAAAAGATAAAATAAATCACATAAACTATGGAATTCTTTGCAGCAGCCATCAGCGAGGAAGAAGGAAGAAGGTACGACAGTTTTGTGCCAGAAACCTCCTTCATGGATTACTAAAAGTAGCTATCTGAAAGTGGAAGGACTGCAGAAGAGGTACTGAACAAACTGACGAGGTGGAGGGGGAGAAATCCCCAATTTGGAGTTGTAAGAGCATCAAACAATGCCAATTTCACTTAGACAGACAGTCTAGTGAAGGCTCTGGGAGTCTGCAGGCCTGTACACTGGTACTGTCCACACTAGCGGAAACTCAACACAGGACAGAGTTAGTGTTCATGTGAATAAACAGGACCTACTCAGGATCATCTGAATAAACCTAAGTGAAGTTCTCCAAAAGAGCCAGTATGCTTGTGTGTGATGATGATCTGTTTGATGCAGTCTTTTGAAATCCCTCTGGAACTCCTGCACCAAAGGCATAAGAAATATCTCTGCATTGATAAACATGTGAAAGACCAGGTAAGAGTAAACAGTCATTTCTTACTGAGAAAGTAAAGAGGTCACCAGTGGAGTTTGCTGATGATACTAAATTGTTAGAAGGGGCAAAAATAAAGACTGAAAAAATTGCAGAAGGTTCTCAGGAGACCAACTGAGTAAGAAGACAGCAAACAATGTTTGATGTAAATAAAAGCAAGCGGGG